GTTGGGGGATGGGGCCCAGCTGGAGGTCATGCCCAGAGGCTCTGGTCATGGACCTCAAGCCTCTGAAGCCAAGAGGAGCAGCCCTGCCCACAGGCCAGACTGAAAGCGTCACCATCCACTGACCTCCTTTTCCACGCTTCTTGCTACCTCTTCCCCGGCAACTCCTCAAATGTCTTTTTAAACAATGTTAACCATCAACATGTTGCCTTGAAAAGTGATGAAATGACATCTCCTTTGGAGAATGTACTGAGCTTCCCTCCCCCAGCTATGCTTCTGACTCAGGCACCCAGAGACTTCCTACCACATTTGGAATAACTGCTGTTTAGTTCAAGGTGGAAGTAGGGGTGGGGATCCCAGATGCTGTTAAGTCTCCCAATACTCCTTGTCTGATGGTCCTTTGTGCAGGCCACCATCATCTTGACAAGAACCTCCTGGTTTCCTGTCTCCAGTCTTCTCAATACCAGCTACCCGAGCTGTTCTAGCAAACATGAAGCTGATCTGATCACACACACTACCCCCATCCTGTATTCGTCAGTGTCTCCCTATAGTCCAGGGGGTAATGGTCATGGTACCATGATGGGCAGAGTAGAGATGGTTGCAGACATGTATGTGGTTTAGGCCCTGTGCAGGGTTCTCGGTGCTTGGCCTCTGCTGGCACCCTCCCTGTACCCTGTTGGGGCCTAGACACCCCCCACCCCAGTGTCAGCTCTGGCCTGCCATGTGCACCCCCCAGTCCCTTCTGCCTGATTGCCCCTTCTCTCGCTTCTCATTTTTTCTGCCTTGAGTCCTTCCTTGACCTCCCAGGCTAAGCTCGTGACTCCCCTGGGTCCCCAGTCCCAGGTGCTGTTGCTCTGTTTGTGCACATGGCTGTCCCCGTCTGTTGGCTGATTTGCTTCTCCAACTGCTCTGGCGGCTGGGAGAGCTTCACCACCTCTGAATCCCCACAAAAAGCAGGCACTCGGGCAGCCCAGTTGGCTGCTCCTAGAACTGGTGGACAGATGGACAAAGTGGAGGTGACGTACGGAGGGCCCGACAGACTTTCTAAGAGCTGCTGTTGAGAATCCCTTGTCGCTGTTTCAGAGGTTGGACTAGATGACCTCTAAGGACCCTTCCTACCCAGCGAGGCTATTCGCTATCCTCTTTCTTGCCTCCCTACCCGCCCCCTAAGACCACCTCATGGACTCTGGCATCGTTGATCAGTATGTTCCTGGGGTCTGGCTGGGCCCAGTGCACACAGATGTGCCTTTGCTACAGGACCTGCCTGGGAGCTCATGCTGGGAGAGGCCTCCAGACTTTTGGAACCTCCCACCATACGGGGAAGCTGGGACCTGCTAGGGGCTCCTATGGGGCTTTGGGCCACACCCGAGGAAGTTGTCTGGTGTTTCCTCTCTTGTCCCTGGACAGGGCAGGGCTGCTTCAACTGAGGTGGGGAGGGGAGAGAACTTCAGATAAAGAGGTAGAATCTGGAATTTTTAATCTTGTTTGGGTTTACAACAGAGATAAGGCTTGGCTGCTAAAGTTCAGCGCTGGTGGGGGACTGGGAACTACTAGAATAGGGAACAAGGTAGGGCACAGGCCTGGATGGAAGTAGGCAGAGCAAGAGGGGGGTCTGCTCCGCTCCAGCATCCGACCCAGCCACCTATGGGCCTGGGGCTTCCAGACCCAGGCCTGGCCAGATCATCAGGAGCTGGCATTTCCAGGGGCCTGTGGCAGCCTCATGTAGCTGGCAAGCCCCTGCCAGGCTGTGGGGCAGACTGGGGTAGGAAGCACCCAGGCTGCCCTGGATTAGCCCTACCTCCAGTCCTTGCAAAGGTGTTTATAGTTTAGGGAAGGGGCCCTGGGGTCTGTAGCAGAGGGAAACAGGAGGCACTGAGTCAGACTCCAGGTTAAGAAGCCAGGGCTAGGGACAGGAGGCTGAGCCACAGGGCCGCTTACTGACCTGGCCTCAGAGTGTTAGGGTCAGGTCAGCCCCTCCCACGAAGCGGGACTGGATGCAGATCACCTGGGGCAGTTGGGCTTGGAATTGCCTGACAGCAGCTATGCTAATACCAGGGCACATGGCGACATCTAACATCTGGATCTGCTTGCACGCCTGCCCAATGGTATCCAGCGTTCTGCAGGAAGGGCCCGGTGTGAGTGCCTGACCCGAGGCTGGTCCCAGCCCAGCCCAGCCCCTGCACTGGCATTGTTGGACACTCACTGCTCTGTGAGCCGACTGCAGCTGGACAGGTTGAGGTGCTGCAGCCTCGGCCAGGAGCTGGCTGCCTGGGCCCAGCCCTTGTCACTGAGGAGGCTGCAGTGACTCAGCGCCAGGCGCTCCAGGCTAGGGCAGCCCCTGGCCACAGCCACCAGGCCGTTATCTGTGAGTGCTGGCAACAGGCTCAGTGACAACTGCCTCAGCTGGGGGAACTGGAGCACCTGCCAAGGATGGAGGATGTGGGGCTGGGGCGTAGTATGGCACTGGAGCCAAGGGCCAGGGGCTCTTCTAGGTTCCCCACCCCCAGCAAAAGGAGAGGCCATACACAGCAGAAGCCAACAAGAAAGGAACTATTTCTAAACAAAAAGGGGGTGGGCCCAGGCCCCTGGCTCTAGCCCCGGATCCTCAGCCTATCCACACCCCCAGCCCCACACCTGTGCCAAACTGGCATCAGTCAGCTTGCTGCAGGCTGTGAGGTCCAACTCCTGTAGAGCCTGCAGCATGAGCAGGGAGGGGCCCTGTGGCTGGGGAGAAGGGTCCATGGGGCCTGAGGCCTGATGCTCCAGCTCTCGGTGTGGCTGTGGGAAGAGACCCCTGCTTCTCAGTTCCTCCTGAGTTTGGCCCTCAAATGCTCCTAGAGAGAGACTCAGGAGGGCAGGCGAGCCCAGGGACCACCCACCCTTCATGACCTTGAGGGTCCCACACCTGGGCTTTCTGTGCTGGCTCCTCACTGGGTTCCCCCAGCCCCAGAAGCCCCCAGTCACGAAGCTCCTTGCACCAGGCCAGGCGCAGGACTGAGAGGGGAGTGAGGTAGGTGCAGATGGCCTGCAGGGTCCGGTTGGTGAGGGCCACACAAGAGGATAAGTCTAGCACTCTGAGACTCGGTCCCAGCGCTGGGATCAGGGAGAGCACTGAGGTGTCCTAGGAGGAAAGTGGAGAAGGGAGAGAGTAATGGAAAGATGGCAAGGGTCACTTAGAAGGTTCTGGCCCGACAGGCAATAAGGAGCTAGCAGAGGGCCCACGGAGGGAGGCGATGATGTCCCTGTGCTGGTAAAGGTTGGAGTGGACATGGGGAGCCATGGGGCTAGGACACCAGGAGGAGTTTGCTGGAGGACAGCGCTTGGCGGGGCAGGAAAGATGCTGGTAGAAATGTCTCAGGTATCTGCCCTGTGCTCCCAGTCCCTGCTGAAGGGGTGGGCTGAGGCTGCCCTCTGACCACAGCTTATTGGACTAGTGGTGGCCATCTGACCCAATCAGATATGCTCCCTCTAGATTGTGAAGCAGAGCTGTGAGGTCACAGTGGGCACAGGGCTGCTACCTGGCAGAAGCAGTCATGGTGCGGGGAGTGGGAGCTAAGGGCGGAGGAGAATAAGCTGGTGTGTAGAGAGATACAGAGACACAAGAATGTGAGGCTAAGAGACAACAGTGATAAAAGGAAGATGGAGAGGGGCAGGGGAAGAGAGGTGCTGTGGGGAAAAGGTTAAGAGGCGGTTTTCAGGTTGGGAATACCCTGGTCACATGGATAGCCTGAAGGAATAGCCCACTAAACAAGACTGCCATTGCCGAGACAGGGACGCCACCCGAGGGACAGGGCTGAGCCCTATTGAAGAGGCCGGCTTCAGATAGAAAGTGACTCTGCTGCCCCCACATCACATTACCCTCCTCAGGCCCTGCCTGAGAACCCTCTTCTGTGTGACCTCGGTGCCGCTCCCCACAGGGCTCAGTTCTGTCACCTCCTCCTCCAGCCTTCCTAGCCCCTGGAACACCTGCTCTTAATGCCTCCAACTGCAGTGGTCACTGAGCACTTGGCATGCCCAGTGGGTGCCACCTCCTGGGCTGGGCCTCCCTTTACCTGAGCCCACAGTGGAGCTGCCAGGAGGGTGCTGGTGGCTGCACAGCCACACTGTCTTGTCTAGGCCCCTTTCCCCTTCCAGAATGTGTTCCAAGTTCAGTTCTAACTACTTGGACACAAACACCGGGCGGTTTCTCCCTCGTGCCACACCTCCACTTCTCCCAGCCCTGG